ACTATCTAAATACAAGGAAACTGAAAGGGTTCCCAGGCAATTCTAACAACTCAACTCAGCTATTAATATGGCCATGCGTAGTCAGTGGGGCTATCCCAAGTGTCCTCAGCATTGGGAAATGCTATTACTCTTACTAATAAAATTAGCAAGAATCAATGAATACTATCAGAAAGCAATCTATTAAGTAACCACCTGAAGTAACCACAGCAGAGAAGATCTGTACACACTCAAATTAAATCATTGCAACGAGCAAGTAATTTCAGAAGAAGAAGATGGAAGATAGAGAACGTTACTCCTTCCAGGAGTCGATCCAAATGGAACATAGAGCAAGATTTGGAGTCAGAATTCCATGTCCTTGTTACAATCCCTTGTTAAGACTTGGTAACCCTAAGTGCAAATCCTTCTGCTACTATGACTAATTCAAGTTTAAATTCTGTAAGGGGACACCTGTTGTCCTTCCCCCATCTCTATGGAACTTGACTGCCTTCAGTACCCTGTTGTTTAGCATAAAGAACCGTAAATGAGTAAACATATTTATCTTATTTATTTGTGAGATGAAGTCAATACATTTTTATTTCTTTTTCCATCTTCTTTTTCTCCCCAACTCTCTGTAATGTATTTAAGATTAAGGTACAGCTTCACAGTGGAAGGGATGTTTCAGTTTCCCTTGAAGGATTCAAAATAAGTCTTGGAGGAGATTACAGAGACTGTTGTATTAGAAATCTGTAATTAAATTACTAATATTCAATGAAGAGAATTTAAAAATATGTATAATTGTGCCATTACCAGTTACACTCTCCCCGCTTCCCTGCATAACTCTCAATGTCAGATCCCAAATTTAGAGGTTAAAAAAAAAAAAAAAAAAGATGTATTTGTCTTGGGCACATCTAACATCGTATACTTTCAATGGTTTTGGTTGAGTTGATTCCAGTCCTAATTAAACTAGTTCCCATTTGTCCATTCTCAGTTGACTCAGTTAAGTATCAAGTAGGTCTGAAAAAAATAATGGAGAAATTTGGAGGTGACCTGTTGTTGTTGTTGTTAAGTGCAGTTGTGTCAGTTCCAACCCACAGGGACCCTGTGTAGAGTTTCTGAGGAGTAGCTGGTGAACTTGAACCACTTACCTTGTGGTTCAAACCAACTGTGCAGTCCAGTGCATTAACCCACTCCGGGGGTGACCTTAGACTTCATAAAATAGTCTTTTACTTTTTTACTTCTTCAATATGGTTAGGTTAGCTTTGCTGGGGAGTAACAAAGCTTTTTTTTTTAAATAAAGAAATATAAAAGTTTAATTTCTTCATAATCTTATGGCTTAAAATTTTTGGGGTAAAGAGAAAAATTTCTTCTTCTACCAGTATGACTCCATTCTACAAAGGAAGCTAAACTTGTTGCACATTCTTCCCAAATTGTTACCAGATTTATACAGACATATCTAAGTACACATGTGTCCAAAATACTAGACATATTGACCTATATCTTGCTTATTTCCTTTCAGACTCATGGACGTTTTCCAAGTCAGTACTGATATATAAATGAATAATTTTTAGTGGCTGTGAATTCGTTCACTGAATGGATAGACTATATACCATAGTAGATTCAACCATTCTTTTATTGATTTACAGTATTGTTTATAATGTTTTTGTTGTTGAGAACAATGCTGAGACACACTTATCTTCAGTTATGTATTTTTATGTATTTCTGCCATTGTTTCCTGGAGGTTGAATTTTACACTTGAGGCTAGACACTAACATACTAAGAGAGGGCCTTCCCCCACCCCAGCATTGTCAACATTTTGGGCTAATCTGCTAGACCAAAAAATGCTAATCTCTTTAAGACTATTTCCCTGACTGTAAGGGAAGGTGAGCATCTTTTCATATGCTTATTGATCATTTGCATTTCCTTTTTTCGTGAATCACCTACTCATATCCTGGATCCATGTTTCTTTTGGGCTGGTTTTGTTTTTAATCAATTTTGGGGGGCTCATTGTCAACGTGGAATAAACGCTTTTGTGTCTTGTATTTGGGACAAGTATTTTCAACCACTCTGTTACTTAGGACATGTTTTAAACATAAATGTTTTAACTTCTGCTCTAGTCAAGTATATTGTTTTTCTTTCCTGGTTTCTAAGATGTCTTAGTTGAAAGAACTCTAATATATCAGTCATATATGTTTTCTAATATTTTTATAGTCTTATTTTTGAAATTTAAATCTTGTTTTTGTTGCTTTTTTTCCTGAGTAAGACAGGGATATAGCTTTTTTTTTTTTTTTTTTTTAATTCCAGATGAAGAATCAGTTGATCACAGGGATTTAATTATTTAATAACCAAAAATGTATATATACATGGGAGTGGGGCTAAGGGTGGGGGTGGTGAAGAGTTCAGTATGAGATTCTTATGAAACAGTGAGCCTAGGATTAGACTCAGAAGATTGTTAATTTATGACTGAACAAAACATCTAGAGGGTTGTTGGTTTCTTTGCCAGTCATGAATTGGACCCTTCTGAAGCTGTGTGTGTGTGTGTTTGGTTTTGTTTTTGCTTTTTAAGTAAATAAGGAATATTCTTGCCCCTCAAAAGTATCAAGCAAATCCTGTGTGTAACATTGGTCCTAGCAGATGATTATCAAATTGAAATGCTCCTTTTAGATGTGTGTCATTCCTCAAAGTTTATGGGGAGCTCCTTGATTTCTTAACTCACCTGTTTCGAACCTACCACAAGTCCCAGGACAGAATATATACTAACTGAACAAAATCTTGGCTTCAAAGCCATTCAAAGATTTATTTAATGTACATCTCCATAGTCTGAGAGTGTTTCAACATTTTAAAGAGGAATTTGCAAGTTTCTTTAAAAACAGACTGGGAACCACCAGCAGCAAGATTTCTCCACATACAAAGGCTTTTATCTTGCCATTTGTAAATGAAGGTATGAATAAATATTTGTTGTATTTTATCATTTAGCTAACCTTCAGATTCAGACTTGTCAGTAATTACTGGGTTGAATTAGAAGGAGGAGATTGGAGATTGAGGTCCAAAGAGGATAAATTATTTGCTCAGAGGCATGCAGAGAACTAGCAACCAATCTTTTCTTCCTGTCCCTAGTGGCATGGTGATGGACACAAATCTGGTGAGAGACGACAAGGGTAGGACAATTAAGCCTAGTTAACTGGCACCATCTTGGCCTATTTTAACAGTCACCATGCCAGAAGTTCTGAGTGGCATCTCTTGGGTGGCTGATGACGGCTTGAATTTGGTTCTGAAGTGACATACATTTTCCTCTTCCTCTGTTGCTAGTAAACAGAACTATCTTGGAAGAGCTGGCAACCTTAGAAGGATTCATTCAGTGATCTCTGCCTTTAACAAATATCGAGTACTTGCTGCATGTGGACTCCCAGTGTGGCACTGTAGGATAAGCACTGGACTGCTAATCACAAACTCAGCGGTTCAAGTCCACCAGCTACACCTCGACAACCCTACATAGAGTTGCTATCAATCTTGGTGTGGCGCTGTGGGTTAATGGGTCAGACTGCAAAGCCGTCTGAACTGCATGGACAGCAGTTCAAGCTCACCAGCTGCTCCTTGGAAACCCTATACAGGGTTCCTAGGGGTCGGAACTGATTCAACAATGAGTCAGAACTGAATGGACAGCACTTAACAACAAACTTGTTGCTTGTAGGTACCCTGCTGGACTCTGAGGATCCCACCCTGAGCGAAATAGAAATGGACTCTCCTCAAGGAACTCAGGAGGCTAGGGAGAGAAACAAGCCTGTTTCCCTACAGTCTCACAGGGGAAGCAGACATTAAACAAATACTCGCAGGCATTTATAATTACAAATGGAGGTAAATGCTTTGAAGGAAAATCCAGGATGCTTGGAGAGGATACAGCAGGAAGGCCTGGTTTAGATTAGGGGGTTAGGTAAAAGCAGAAGAGGGGGTCTTAAAGGCTTTTGCAAAGTTGAAGTGTTTTACATATGTGAAGGAAATAATAATAATAAAGGTGCCTGGAAGGGCAGCTCATTCTCTTTCAAGGACCACTTCCTAGATCTGTGGGAATCTGCCTTTCTCCTCAGCTTTATGTAGGCATCCAGGACCAGGGCTGGAAAGGCCTTCACAAATGCTAATATTTGAGCATTTTATGAGCTGCCCCTTGACCCCTAGCATCCTCAGCTTTAACTTGCTTGAATACTGAGGTGAATGGTGGATGAGTGGCATTTCCAATTTTGGGGCCAAGAGGGGGAGATGAGGAAGAGTTTTCACCCCAATCTAGGAGCAATTTGGCCCTCCCCCAAACAATCTGGATAAATTTTTGAAAGCAACTCCCTGTGGATGTGGATGGCAAGGGGGCTCTTAAGGAGATCAGAGTTGTTCCTGGGAAATTTCGGGGTAGAGCAGTAATCTCTAGTGCCACCACCCCAAAACAAGCACTCCTGTAAGAAAGTTTGTTGTGTGTGAAATGAGGACTTGATAGTGGTGAGAGGGGAGGGGGTAAATGCTGCTAATTGGGGTGGTAAGAGTAGGAAGAATCTATCAAGATCTGGTAATAAGAACAATAGGTGACACTTATAGGGGAGTGTGCACTGTTATGAGTACCTTCACAACTCGTTTCTCAAAACAATTTTGAGATCGGCACGATAATGAACTTCGTTTCAAAACTAAGAAAATGGAGGAACACAGCTTAAGTAGTAATAGCAGTTTTCCTTTTTAACCTTCGACAATTTGGAGTTAAAGTTTTTATTTCGAGTTCTGGTCTCTAAGGGATGTAAATGGCAATTCCTCCTACGTGAATTTTATATGCTCCCCGTGATTCCAGGAACATAGCCCTCGTTTTTTTAAACGGCTAACTAGGGAGCAGCGCCGACGGCTGCAAGGGACACACACTTCTTCCCAACCGACTCGCCGCCTTCTTCGCAGAGGGGAGGGTTTGTTGTCAGTCCTGCGCGGATGGCTGGAGTAGTGGGGGTGGGCACCACTGCAGCCGGTGGCAAACGCCTGGCAGTTCCGTTTTATGCTCAGTCTCCGCGAGGTGTCGCCTTCTGCCGACAAAACCTCCGCGGCGCCACCCTCGTAGCCCAATTATTTATTTTCAAACAAGGGGGGCGCCCCTCTCCTTTTAATTTACAACTAGAAACATCCTGTGGTCGATTCCTAAATGGGCGCGTCTTATCCCTCCAATTTTTGCATCCTGGGTCTAACCTTCCTTGGAGATTACTCTCAGACAACCCCCTCCGCAAAGCAAAGCCTTCCTCGTTGAAGGCTTTGCGCTCTGCAGCACACAAACGCAATCAAGGCGGAGGCTGGGTTAGGAGCCACGACTCCCTCCCCCACAACACTCCCTGAGCCCTCCGGAAATTTTTTTTGTGTGTGCCAAGCACTTGCCAGGCCCGCAGGGTGGGTGCTGCATTGCATCGCTCGCTGCGCAGCTGGTTTACGGAGTGCACCGGGTGCAAGCCCGGGGGTCCAAAAGGGCGGGAGGAGTGCACCCCAGGCTCCCCAGCTTTGCAGCCTTCTCTCTGCAAAGAAAAGCAAGTGGCTTTTGGCGCGAAAGCCTTGGCGCCTCCCATGATTTTTATGGAAATCAAGGGGGCGGGGCAAACTAGCTTTCCTCTGCCTTTCTCCCTCCTCCTTGTCTGCGCCGCAGCCCCCTTCTCTCCCCGCCCCCCGGGTGTGTCAGATTTTTCAGTTAATAATATCCCCGGAGCTTCAAAGCGTAGCCAGTGACAGTCATCTGTCTGGACGCGCAGGGTGGATGCGGGGGGCTCCTGGGAACTGGGTTGGAGCGGAGTTAGCGCTAGCCAGGCGCAAGCGCGCACAGACAGCCACCCGAAGAACCCCCCACAGCCGACCCGGAGACCCCCGCGCAGTATCGCCACTGGATCTCTGGCAGTCGGCGGGAGGTAAGGAGCGGGGATAGAAACCGCCCGGCGCCCTGGGAGCGGCGAGCGCTGTGGGAAGGCAAAGCCGTGGACCCGATTACGGCTAGCGAACAGGGCAACCGAATATGCCTGGGGGACTGTTTCTGCTTCCGAAACAAAACGATCTCGGGGTTTTCCCTAAAAAGCTAGTATCGACCTCGAAGGTACTCTTGACTAGAAGAGACCCACCCTAATTATTTTACTGCCCTTGCCAAAAGGGTGTAATGGCTTCATCGGGGGAAAAAAATCGTTCTTCTTTATAAGACTCGTATGTATTCGAGCTGACTGGCAGCCGGTGCGTCCCCAGCCCAAAGCAGAGGTTCTCTAAAGGGTGCCCCGGGAGGAAGAAGAGCGGGTTAGGCAGGGTGAGGTCGACGCAGTAGTAGGTAGTAATCTGGGTCACGGCTGTTCCAGCGAAGATGCTGCTCTCCCGATTCTCCGCCGCGCGCGGCGCCCCTGCAAGGTCTCAGAAATTGGGGTTCAGACTACCCATCAATTAGAGGACGTTTCTCGGGGCTTGAAGCAGTGGAGTGGGATTAGTGAGCTATCAAATAAGCTTTTGGTAGAAATATCACTCCAAGGCTGAATGCCGGGGGACGTCTGCAGAAATTTGGGGGAGGTGGATTTGGGTGCCTGGTTTTGGTCTGTTGAGAGAAGAAAGGCTTTTCTATTGGCAAAGTTTCTTTAATCCCCTACAACCACTTCCAAGGTTGCATTTCCCTCACCACCACCCCCCAAAGGGCAATTGAGGGCAGTCCAAATCCTGAACCAGGTAGTTGGGTTGTGGAGTCGGTTGGCTTCCTTGGGGCAGCTGAATCTGCATTGGTCCCACTGGGGTTGGTGTGTTCATAGTGGGAGCTAGGGTTCTGCAGCCCTTAACAGCCTCGGCACTCCCCCCCCCCACCCATGTCAAAGCCTTGTGTGAATGAAATGGCAGTTTCCAAAGTTGCAGAGCTACGCCACCACCCCCCTACATCTGCATGCCCCCTCCCACCCCTGTCTTAGACAGCTGTACACAAAAGGAGGGAGGGAGAGTGCTAGAGACAGAACTTCCTTCACCTTCTGGAGCTCAGGGCCAAGTGGGGGGCTTAGAGGGCAGATTGAAGAACGGGACGAGCTTCTGAGGCTCAAGTTAAGGCTAGAGGGAGCGCCCACTTCCTGCACCCTATTCTGCTCAGCTTGCCAACCCTCTCCTGGTGTATCTGTCGGTTGCAGTGTCGGAGGTTGGAGCTGGGCCCCCACCTTCCGCGCCCCCCACGGGAAGGGAGCACCTCCCGTATTAAAAAGAGCGCGACAGCGAGAAGCCCTCATTCGCCGGCCAGGAGGCGAGCCAATGCCGAGCTGCACCGCGTCCACCATGCCAGGGATGATCTGCAAAAACCCGGACCTCGAGTTTGACTCGCTGCAACCCTGCTTCTACCCGGACGAAGATGACTTCTACTTCGGCGGCCCCGACTCGACCCCCCCGGGGGAGGACATCTGGAAGAAGTTTGAGCTGCTGCCCACGCCCCCACTGTCGCCTAGCCGTGCCTTCCCGGAGCACAGCCCGGAGCCCCCGAACTGGGCTACCGAGATGATGCTGCCTGAGGCCGACCTGTGGGGTAACCCGGCCGAGGAGGACGCGTTCGGCTTGGGGGGATTGGGCGGTCTCACCCCCAATCCAGTCATCCTCCAGGACTGCATGTGGAGCGGCTTCTCTGCTCGGGAGAAGCTGGAGCGCGCTGTGAGCGAGAAGCTGCAGCACGGTCGTGGGGCGCCTGCTGCCAGCACCGCAACCCCGGCTCAGGGAGCGGGCGCAGCCAGCCCTCCCGGCCGCGGGCATAATGCGCCTGGGGTTGCGGGCCGTGTTGGGACCGCCCTGCCCGCGGAGCTCGCCCACCCAGCCGGCGAGTGCGTGGATCCCGCCGTGGTCTTCCCCTTTCCAGTCAACAAGAGGGAGCCAGCGCCTGTGCCAGCCGTCCCGGCGGTTGCCCCTGCTGCGGGGGTCTCGGTCCCCTCTGGGGCGAGTGTCTCAGCCCCAGCTAGTGCCCCGGCGGCGGCTGCTCAGCGTCCAGGCGGCCGCCCGGCCATCAATGGTGACCAGAAGGCTCTCAGTACTTCGGGAGAGGACACCCTCAGCGACTCAGGTAACGTAACGACTGTTTCCCGGTCCGACTGCCTTTTGGGAATACGGAATCTAGGGATCACTTTCATTTTGTTAGTGTTTATGTTTTGAGCTTTGAGAGACTTATGTTCGCGTTCAGTATTGGTGGTGTAGAGATCTTGTTTCGTTTAAGTCGAGCCCTAAGGTAATGGGAGTGAATGAAAACCTTCAGGTGTTGTCTAAAGCTTCACTAACATTCACTGAAGTTCTTTCCAGTCTCTTCGGGGAGACTTACCCTCACCCGATTCTTCCTGCCTCTTCTGCAATGCAGTTCGTGGAATAGAAAGTTAGTGGACGAAGCTTGCAGGGTGTTTAGGAGGGCGCTTGGTGAATTGCGTAGGCAGAAATCTGTTAGGTTTGAGTGAAAGAGGTCTCAACGGCCAAGGACATGGGAAGTAAAAGATCCCGAGTCGATTTAAGGACTGTGCAAAATCCTATTTAGGACGCAGGAAGTTAAGTGTGAGATTGCACAGATGGCTAGTAACTGGTTTTATTTTTTTCCAACCTCCCTCAGTGGGCGGTGGGCTATTTGTTCCTGGTGTGTGGCCAGCAGGCGGCGACATGGAGGCCCAAGTATCTGAAAAGCTGGGGGTGGTAGGGGGCACCCCTCCCTTCATTCAGCAGCTGGCAGCAAGCACAACAGCTCAACTGCGGTTGTGTACACTCTCAAGAAGCTGCTTCTTTGAAGCTAACAGTGAAAATTGCGTCCAGTTTTGTCTTATTGCCGTCTTTGGCCCGCATCTCCTGGACTAATTAGAGATCAAAATAGTAGTCTGTAACCCAGTGCCCTTCAAAGAGAAGGGGTACATTTAGCAGGCTCTGCAGGAATGCACACAGGATAGGAATTTCATTGTGTGCACTTGTCTGCCTTAAACTACCGGCGAGGATTAAAATCAATACTTTGCCTTGGGCTCTGGAGGTAAAGAATCCTGCCTTTCCGCTTGGAACTGGGAGCAGGGACTCTCTTGGACCTTAAAAACCAATGTTTTCAAATTCTAGAAAATACGTGATAAGACATCTACATTTTCTTAAGTTAGGATCCATCCGAGGCTCATGGAGGGAAAACTTGGTGATAAGCCTCCAGTTTGAAAAGGCTCTCTGTCCCTTTAATGTCTGAGCCTTGACAGCTTTCGTGAGGAAGCACTTCCTTCCAACAGCTGTCTTCTTGGCAGAAAACCAAAACATTGGCTTAAAGGGACCCACAGACTGGAACAGCCCCACATTTCGGCTTTAGAACAAATCCAGCAATTGTTCAGCTTTCCGGTCTCCTTTAGATCAAGCAGAAAGATGTGTTTTGATTTTCATGCTTGCATTTTAAACAATAATTTTCTATTCCAGCTTGATGATAGTAAATGAGGAGAGGGAAAATGCACACATGATGGTACATGCTTTTTTGTTGTTGCTGTTATTAACTGGTGACTTTCAGAAGAGGTGCTTTCATTGTTTTGATTTGTAGCTACTGGGAATTACGGCTTTGTAGTAAAAATTTGCTCATTGTTACATGAAATCTTTGCTATGTAGACTTCATGTTCATGGAAGAAACCTTGTTTTTCATTCAATCATGTGTAAATCTGTAAATGTTCCAGTTGGGAAGCTAGAAATGTAAATAAGTCTACAAGACTGTGATTATGGCATAAATCCGCCATTTGAGCATCTACTTAAGCTCAGCTCTGGTAGGTCTTTTCATGTTATTTATCAAATTCAAGAAAGCTGTGATACTATCCCTATTTAAATAGTTGAGGAAACTGACTGAGGTTTTTAAAGTTAAGGAACTTGCCTGGAGTCATGCAACTAGTGTATTATTGAACCATAATTCTGTGTAAGCATAAAGTCCATGTTCTTTATTGCTGTCAAATCTGAACAAGAACTGAAAATGCAGGACTATATGAAAGGAAAAAAGTATTTCCAGATAATCTTAAATTTAGGAAAACCTAAAATGTTTCTGTCCATATTTATGTTGATAATAATAGCAAGCTTTGTGCCAGGCCTTGCTCCAAGAGATAATATGAATGAACTTAGCTTGTGTTTCAACATATGAGAGTAACTCCCTCTTTTTCTTAAAGATGATGAAGACGATGAAGAGGAAGATGAAGAAGAGGAAATTGATGTGGTCACGGTGGAGAAGCGTCGTTCTTCCTCCAACAACAAGGCTGTCACCACCTTCACCATCACAGTACGTCCCAAGAACACAGCTCTGGGCCCTGGAAGAGTTCAGTCAGGTGAGCTGATCCTGAAACGCTGCGTCCCCATTCACCAGCAACACAACTATGCTGCCCCCTCACCCTATGTGGAGAGTGAGGATGCACCACCCCAGAAGAAGATTAAGAGTGAAGTGTCCCCGCGTCCTCTCAAGAGTGTTGTGCCCTCAAAAGCTAAGAGCTTAAGCCCCCGCAACTCTGACTCAGAGGACAGTGAGCGTCGCCGCAACCACAACATCCTGGAGCGCCAACGACGCAATGACCTGCGGTCCAGCTTCCTCACACTCAGGGACCATGTGCCAGAGTTGGTGAAGAATGAGAAGGCTGCAAAGGTGGTCATTTTGAAAAAGGCCACAGAGTATGTCCACTCCCTTCAGGCAGAAGAACACCAGCTTTTGCTGGAAAAGGAAAAATTGCAGGCAAGACAGCAGCAGTTGCTAAAGAAAATTGAACATGCTCGGACTTGCTAAACGTTTCTCAAAACTGGACAGTCACTGCCACTTTGCACATTTTGATTTTTTTTTTTTTTTAAACAAATATTGTGTTGACATTAAGAATGTTGGTTTACTTTCAAATCAGTCTCCTGTCAAGTTTGGATCTGGGTGGGGAAGCAGAACGAGCAGGGATTTCTGCCAGAACCTTAGGATTGGGCCTGCCTGATTCAGCCCTTTCAGTTTCCTCTTCCACCTCACCTCTGAGTTGCCGTAGAAGTTCGTGACAAGATCCTTTGAGGCTGTTGAAGTCACCTTGTTCCAAGTTTCTAAACAAAGTCATTCCTTGTTTTTAAAAATGGTGCTTAAGTTCCAGCAGATGTCACTTGAGGGGTTTGCCATTTGATACCCCTGGGGAACATTTCTGTAAATACCACTGACAACACTGCCTTTTGTACATGTCTTGGGTAATGAGAGGTGGCTTTTGCAGCCAGTATTAGACTGGAAGTTCATACCTAAGTACTGTAATACCTCAATGTTTGAGGAGCATGTTTTGTATACAAATATATTGTTAATCTCTGTTATGTACTGTACTAATTCTTACACTGCCTGTATACTTTAGTATGATGCTGATACATAACTAAATTTGATACTTATATTTTCGTATGAAAATGAGTTGTGAAAGTTTTGAGTAGATATTACTTTATCACTTTTTGAACTAAGAAACTTTTGTAAAGAAATTTACTATATATATATATATATGCCTTTTTCCTAGCCTGTTTCTTCCTGTTAATGTATTTGTTCATGTTTGGTGCATAGAACTGGGTAAATGCAAAGTTCTGTGTTTAATTTCTTCAAAATGTATATATTTAGTGCTGCATCTTATAGCACTTTTGAAATACCTCATGTTTATGAAAATAAATAGCAATTAAATGATGCACTCAACTTTTTATTCCCTTAATAATACTAGTTAAATATTATACGTTTCCCAATGGCCATAAATAATGCATAACTTCAAAAGTGAATTTACATAGGCAACCCTTTTACATTTTAACAGGCTTGTGTGGAGAAGAGGGATCAATTGTCTTAACTTGAGGTGAGTAGATTGGGCTTTATAGATATCAAGGGCAGAAAAGCATTGTAATGACTATCATGGCATTGGAGTAATGCTTAACAGTTTATAAAGCACTTTCATGTATGCTGACCAGTTCATGAATTATGCTAGGATATCAGCTATGTAATCGCAAAGCACGTGGTTCAAACCCATCAGTCACTCCTCAGAAACACTATACTACAGCGTCACGATGTTGGATCAACTTGATGGCATTTAATAGCAAGTACCAAACCTTTAAAATGAAAAGTAAAACCAAACAGTTACATTTCAGGTTATATACGGATTTTTGTTCAGTGTGGAGAGCATAGTTTGTCTCAAAAATAATGAATTTTTATGTTCTAAGGATCCCTGGCAGTACTGTAGGGATAAACTGGACTACAGAAAGCTCCAGCAATTCAAACCCACCAGTTACTTCTGTAATAAAAAGATTGAGGCTATCTGCATCCTTAAAGATTTACAGCCTCAGAAATCCTATTCAGGCTTGCTATGAGTAGGTTTCGTTTGGTTATGTGAGGTTCTGTACTAGGCATTTGACATTGATCCCCTTCCCTGGAGTGTAAAATTTGATGTAAATTGTAGTATGAAGTGACTATAGCTCAGATCAAGTCCCATGTCTCTTTAGGAGAGAGACCAAGCGTTTGGCATATTGAAGTTTTTGCCACACCAGTCACTATTATGGGTATTTAAATGAAGTCCTGTCTGTGGAAACAGGTTCAGGTTTGCTGGTCTGGATGGCAGGGCAGGTGGTGGTTATATTCTGTGGAGTCGATTCCGTCTCATAGGGACCCTGTATAGGGTTTCCGAGGCTGTAAATCTTTACGGAAGTAGAAAGCTTCATTTTCCATGCAACAGCTGATAGTTATGAGCTGCTGAACTTGAGGTTCACACTACGCTACATGAGCCATAATTCCAGCTCCTGGGTAGGAAGTTGTTTCTGAGGTTTCCTCATTATCCCTTCTTTTGAGGGACTCTTCATAGCCTACTTGGGTTTTTTTTGTGTGAAAGGTACTAGGATATTTGTCTAGGGTTTCTGTTTCTTACATTCCTGAACTAAAAAAAGGCTTTTCAGATTTACAGAGAAGAAACCAGATCCATGGAGGAGAAAGGGTCTGCTTGGCTGGCCACAAAGCTTGTGATGGGGCAGAGGTGAGAGCCTAGACCTTTAACTAATGGTCTGACCCTGTTTATTACTTCAGCCATTTTGTAAAGACAAGGGGAGGTAAGAACTAGAGGTCTAACTGCAAGTTTAAAACGCCAGAGCTGTGAGGCCTGTGTTATTGTCTTATGAAGTTGGACCTGACCTCTCCCAGCCCCCTACCACAAAATAGTGAATCTTTGGAATCATCAGGCCACCTTCACATTTTAAAGAACTTCCTATTTGTTTGCATCTTACAAACAAACTGTTTCACCTAGTTTGTATATTCATGAACCAAGAGAAAGTTACCATTATTTTATTTTTTTAAGGTTTTTATTGTGGATTGAGTGAAAGTTTACAGGGCACATCATCAGTTTCATATTGAACAATTAATATACCTTGTTTCATTACATTGATTATAATCCCCCCATATACCACCAGTTAACAGTATTTCTCTCTATCCACTTTAGCTTTTTAAAAAACAAACAAAAAAAACCACTCAGGCATATATAATTTACATCTCCAAAGGGCACATTCTGCAAGTCTGCTCCTGGCCACCAGCTCTTAGTCCTTCTCTTCTTAGTCCATGAATCTAGAGTCCTCGGCCACTCCTCTCCATGGCCCCATCTCTGGCACTGCTGCTTCTCTGGATAAGGTCCCACATTTTGTTTGTGTGTTCCTCTCTTGATGGTCCTAGGGTCATCTGTTTCTGGACTGTAAGATTAACCACTCCCCTGTTTTTGTTACAAAACTTCTACCTTTACAATTGTGACAGTCATGATTAGTCATGATAACAGTTATTCCCTATTGAATCTTATGAATCTTATCCTCATCTCCTTTCACCAGACCCATCTAGACAAGATGATAGCTATTCAGTGGGGACTCTTTCTTTCCTCCCACACACTTAACCTAAGCTCCCTCTTGAAACCTTGTAAGCCAGTCACTTTGTGCCTTTATTGCCTCCTCTTAGATAGCCAATGTCTACATTGCCTGTCCCTATCTACCTGTGCACAGAGCAGATAGCATTGATACTTGATTTGAAGACTCTTTCCCTCTCTGTTGGTATTTAGAGTAACAACCGCTCTGAGTATAGGTTCATCATGAAGATGTATCTTCTGTCACTGTAGCTGTTCCAGTCTGCTTGTCCTTTCTAGTGGGAATGTCTCACCTCACAAGGTTGTG